GTTTGTTGTATATAGCTTTAACTATGGTGAGGTATGTTCCCTCCAGTCCAGTTCTCCTTAAGACTTTATCATGAATGCATGCTGAATTTTGTCAAAGGCCTTTTCTGCATCTATTGAGATGACGATGTGGTTTTTGTCTTTGAGCCCATTTATATGATTTATGACATTTATTGATTTGCGTATATTGAACCACCCCTGCACCTCTGGAATAAAGCCAACTTGATCATGGTGGATAATCTTTTTGATTCGTGTCTGTATGCGGTTTGCAAGTATTTTGTTGAGAATTTTTGCAACTATGTTCATTAAGGATATGGACCTATAGTTTTCTTTTGTGGTTGTGTCTTTACTTGGTTTTGGTATTAGAGTGATGCTGGCTTCATAGATGGACTTTGAGAGTTCAGCCTCTGTTTCTATCATTTTGAATAATTTAAGTAGTCTTGGTTGGAAGTATTTTTTAAATGTCTGGTAGAATTCTGCTATAAATCCATCTGGGCCTGGGCTTTTTTTAGTCTGGAGGTTTGTATTATGTTTCAATTTCCTTATATGTTATGTGTCTGTTTAAACTATTGATCTCTTCTTGGTTTAAGTTTGGTGTTTTCCATATTTTTAGATATTCATCTATTTCTTTTAGGTTTTCAAATTTAATAGAGTATAGATTTTAAAGTATTCCTTTATAATGTTCTGGATCTTTTGGGTGTCTGATATGATGGTTCCCCTTTCATCTCGGATTTTGTTGATTTGGATTTGCTCTTTCTTTTGGTTAACTGGGCTAAGGGTCTATCTTGTTTAGCTTTTAAAAGAACCAGCCCTTAGATTCATTGATTCTTTGTATTGTTTTCTTTGTTTCTATTTCATTAATTTTTGCTTTGATTTTTGTTACTTCCTCTTGTCTGTTGAGTTTGGGTTTCATTTGTTCTTCCCTTTCCAGGGTCTTGAGTTGAAATGTTGTCATTTATTTCTGCTCTTTCTGATTTTTTAATGTAGCTACCTGAGCTGGTTTTCATTTCATTCATTCTAGTGGTGAAGCTTTCTCCTGTTGTTCATGTTGTCTTACTGGGTTTTCACTTCCTTCTTCATTTCAGCCCGTCTCTTTTATGAATTCAGTCACAAGTTTTCCCTGTCTTTTTTTAGTTCTTTGATTTGTTTGTGTGTTCTTTAAATTCCTTGAACTCCTTGATCATGAATATGATTGTTCTTTTAAATTCTGTGTCCTGGGTTATCTCTAGGGGTTCTCCTTGTAGAACAGGACTGGTGGGGTTTGGTGGGAACATGCTGTTTTGGTTTTCATAGTATCATTTTTTTCATTGCGATTTTGGCATGTGGATTTCTTTTGTTGTTTGTGATTCTGGTATGAAACTCAAGCCTTCATTCATTGAGTTGAAATCTGCTTCTGTCTGTGTTATTGGTGTGCTTTGGTTGTTTTCTTATTGGTATGTAGAGCTGGTTGGTCTAGGTTTCATGTTCTCTCAGATTATATATTAGAGAGAACTGATGGCCTCAGATCAGCTACTCAGGAGCTCCCACAGAGTCCCAAGTCAGGCTCCAGGTAAGTACACTCTGGCTTCTTTCTAACGTCTGGACCCCTACTAGCAGGCACTTCAGCACAATATGGGAAGTTTTCTAAGAGGAGGCCCAATTTTGGCACTCTTGGGCAGTCTGCCAAGGTCTTAGCTCCTACACCAGGCAGAGGCTGGATCCAGGCACTCTCACGCAGTCTGCTGAGGTCTTAAGCTCTGTACCAGGCGGAGGCCAGATCCAGGTGCTCTCAGGTGGTCTGCTAAGGTATCCGGTTTTAATTTTTTAATGTGAATATTTTTCTTATGCAGTTGGACTTACTTTGTACCTTCTACTTCATTCTGTTTTTTTCTGCATAGCCTTTCCCCATCTGTTCTAATTATAAATCTAAAACGATGTCTTGGCATACATGAGTAGGTTCTGAGTCGTACCCTGCCCTGTGCCAGGTCCTGTTAGTCATCGAATAAGGAGGGATGTTGATGGCAGCTAAGGCTAACAGGCACTTCCAGAATGCTAAGTACAGTGTCAGACAGTCTGCACAGGTAATTTCATCCCTGCACAGCTCCAGTGAAGGGGCACAAGGGTTTTATAGTTAGGAAAAGCAGATTGGGTTTAGTGAGTGGGAGAGGTCACTGACTCTGGCTGAGAGCAAACTGTAAGCCAGGACCTAGCTAAGCACTTGACTTCTACTAACAAGTTGATTCTGCAGGACATCCCATATTACAGATGAGTGAACAGAACCACACACAAGTTTGGTGACTTGTCTAAGAGTACCCAGCTAGAGCAGGGGTGTCCCTAAGCAGCAGTGTCCTTTCCCAGTGGCAAGAGCCAAAGGCAAGATGTAGCCCGACTGTAAGGAACGAGTTTTACGATATGGTCAGAGTCTGGACTAAAGACTTCTACTTATCCTTGCAACCCAAAGTTATTGTTTATAATGTGATGGGGCACATGACCTAATTCTTCAGGACCCCTCCTTGCTCTGCACCCAAGATAGTTTATGAATGTGGGTATCCATGCTTTACACAGAGCACGGAAAGTGGCTTTTCTCTTTGTAAACAATGAGAGAAATTGAACATGTGTGGCAATCTAGTCTTTGGGGGCCTGACCCTTTCAACCATACAGTCCTTCCTTTCCCAGCCATCCATCTTTCCTAGATGGTGCTGATGTGTGGGGACACCTGGGGATGCCGAAAGCCAGCTGATCCCACTGAGCACTGGCCCTAGGCCATGGCCTTGTAGCCCCTGATCTTCCTCAGATTGTTCACCTGTTTCAACACAGATGCTAGCAACCATCTCCCTGATTACTGGGAGGATAAGCAGAAATACATGAAGGTGTGAGGTATCTTTGAGGCATACAGTGAATGACCAGGGAAATCAATATAGTTTTTGAACTCCACCCCCATCCTCTGGGGCTGCTCCTGGCAACGTCCCTCTTCAAGGAAACAGAGGGAAATAACCATGTGCCTTGCCGGGCTCCCCTTGGAGCACGGCCTGTTCCCTAGGTGCCTTGGGTAAGCTGCTTTGAGCCAGGAAGACACTGTTTGCACTCATAGCTCAGTTTGGCCCTGAGTGAAGTGTTGTGGCTGGTGAAACCCGTGGATGTTTCTTCTTTCATGTGAACCTTGGTCTAACTATCCATCCTCCACTGAGTTCCTGTAGGTTGGTTTCTGGGTCCTAAGACCAGGACTTCATATCTGAACTGTGCCATGCATGCCGGGAATACTGACTACAGAGTTGTTTTAGTTTAGACTTCTAGGTCTTTCCCCTGTTTGGGACCATGGGTAGTTATCTTACCTTGCTAACACTTTGTGTCTTTATTTATACAGAGTAAATTCAGCATAGAGAATTGGTTTCCTAGAAGGGAGGGTAGGGACAGCAGCTAGTCACTGCCACCTCCCTCGTAACTCCTTGGAAGGAGGGTATGAAGAGCCAGGAGCTAGGTCCTTCAAGTCAGAGCTGAGAGCATGCAGGGTCTCCTGGGTAGCAGGAGGATATCTCTTTGAATGATTTTCTGTCACCTTATTGGTGAGGAGGGCCTATCCCTGGGTATGGACAAACACAGACATCTGATGTGCAAGGCAGGATGTTGAAGCAGAAACTTCAGGGGAGCACTGCTTACAGGTCTGCATCCTCTGGCTTGCTTAGTGACTTTTCTTACACAGTCCAGGCCTGTCTGCCTAGGAATAGCACCGCCCACAGTGGGCTGAGCCCTCCTATATCAGTTAGCAGTCAAGAGACTGCTCCACCCACATGTCCACCAGCCAGTGTGATGGAGGAAATTCCTCACTCGAGGGTCTCTCTTCCCATATGTGTCAAGTTGACAACCAAGATTGCCATCATAAGTCCACCCTCTATGTGACGTGCAAGGCCCTGTGAGGTCACACTCGGAAGTGAGTGAATGACCATCAAGGCTGTGCAGGCTGTGCGGCATCCGTGAGGCATCCGTGGGTGTCCTTGGGAGTGGTGCTTGCTCCTGTGGATGCCTTAATCTTTCTCAGCTGGCTGAGGATCTGGGACCCACTGCTCAGGAATAAGCAGAAAGTGCATGGTGCCCTGTGAGCAGCTGGAGCTGCTTAGCTGGGATCTCTTCTGGGGCGACAGTGAGGAGGGGTCCCTTGTGAAGCTGGGTGAGCCTGCTCTGGCTCACCAGGTATGAAGCAGCCTCAATGTGGACCCTGATTGCGGGTCTTGGTTCTGGCCTAATTGTGAAGAAAGGAAGAGGACATGCTGGCAGGAGCGGCCTAGAGGGGAAGAGCTTGCTTCTCTATCCCAGAGTGACAGCCTGGCTGTCTCCCAGTCCTCGCCCCTCCCTCCCGAAGGCCTCTTTGTTTCAGTGTTCCCAGGCCATGGTCTCTGCAGGATGACTTGGTTTAATCTGTAAAATAGCCCTGTGGCCTGGTGGATGTCTTTCCATTTATACACAGAGACCTTGGCTTGAAGGGATCGTCAGTCTCCATGGCACTTGAGTTAGTTGGTATCAAAAAAGTGCCAAACCCAAGGCTGTTTGGCTCCACAACGCAGGACTATTGGACAGGTGGACTTGTTGTAAAGCAGGGAGGGCCCTTCTCCACGTGCCCGCCCCACCCCTCCATGCTTAGCACTCAGATCTGCTCTGTTTCTGCAAAGACGCCCTGTTGGGCAACAGCTTTACCCACTACGCTCGGACCTGTTTCTCTGCAGAGTGAGAGCGTGAAGGTGCTTGCTGTGCAGCTACTTACCTACGCTCCGAGTAGCTTGTGCTAGCAAAGAGGAGTTCGCTTGTGGGTGACAAAGCATTGCTCACTCGGAATAAAGCTGCCCGGGCCTGAAGTGCTCCCTCCCCCTGGTCGCCATAGGCTTTTGCCTTGAAGCACCTTGTGGCCCTGTAATTCTGGAATTTTGGCGATTTGACTCACCTTGCTCTGCAGGCTTTTCATTTGCCATTGGGAGTGCACCTGCTCCTCAGGGATTAGTTAGTCTCATGTTATTCCTGTGTTATCATTGCAGAAAAGCTGTATGGAGACCTCTTGAGCTGGAGGCTGGAGGAAACGCTGGTCCAGTTCCCGCTGCAGCCTGGGAAGGTGGCCATTTTCACCATCAACATCAAAGCAAAGCTTGACTTCTCCTGCCAGGAGAACCTCCTCCAGGACCTTAGTGACGGTGAGTCCTTCCTGATCTTTGTGCTTGCATTGTGCTCCGGTCCTGTGGGCTCTGGTCCCATGTGCTCCAGCCCCACGTGCTCCAGTCCCGTGTACTCTGGTCCCATGCTCGGTGCCTGCCCTGTGTTTTGACACGCCTCTGTCAGTCATTAGCTCGAGCTACCGGGACTTCTGGCCTCCTTGTTAGCAGTGAGTTACTGTATGTATCTGGGAGAAATGAAAATGCATCTCAGCTCAATGGGCTCTTAATCCTCCCTCTTCACTGTTTTGTTCTTATTTGCTGGGAGTTCATCCTAAATGGGTGGATTGTAGGAATTGCCGTTCTTTCAAGTGTAACTGCTGCAATCTGCAGCCAGCTAATTAGCTGAGGTGATCAAGTGCTCCCTCACAGTCTGGGGCAATGGGAATTTGTCATAACAGAAGGAACAGCTGACTGGGGATGACAGGACACAGATTACATATGCCAAGTTATGAAGCCTGGATCCATGCATTCATTTAGAGACTTGGTGGGGTATAGGAGTCAGCCTAGTCTTTTGGAGCAAAGACCCCAAGTTGGTGTGACTTAAACACCAGACCCTTATCCTCAAGATCCTGGGTCCTGAGACCAGAGGTCAGGGTTTTTCCTCTCCCTGGCCTGTGGTTATCTTTGACTGTGACCACGTATAGCAGAGAGAAAACATTTCTCTCCTGCTCTTCCTCTTTGTGCAAAGGCCCCTGGATTAGGGTCCTGGCATTAGGGCATTGTTTACTCCTGACTGCCTGCTCGCAGACCTACCTCTAATACAGTCACATTGAGTGGTAGGGCCTCAATATGGGAGTTTTGGGAAGAGGCACAGACATTAAGTCCGCAACATGGCTGTTTTGGAGACAGTGCATTCTGTCTCCAGAACTTGCCGGCCATGTAACTTTGGGCAATTGATTTAACTCCTCTGTGCCTTTATCTTCTAGTGTGTAAGTGATTTTAACTCCCATTTTCCAGGGCTCTGAGGGTTTGCATGCCTCTTGGAACACTGTAAGCATTCACAGTGTCTGTTGCAGGAACAGATAATTAGAACACCAAGGTGTGACTTGGATACAGCTTCTTTTGTGTGGTAGGGCCCTGTACGAACTCCAAGAGTTAGTATCTGATTTGGTCCTGGACCAGGTGAAATAAAAGGAGTGGGTCCCACAGCCAAAGGGTGGCAGCAGGTACACTGGCCCAGAGCCTAGATCTCTCCCTCTTTTTCTCTGTATTTCTCTCTCTCTCCCCTGCCCCTCTCTGGGAATCAATCTCTCTCTCTCTCTCTCTCTCTCTCTCTCTCTCTCTCTCTCTCTCCCCCCACACATATGTGAAGGCCAAATCAGGATTTCAGGTGACCTCTGTCCTCTCCACCTTACTCTCTTACTCTTTTGTGGCAGGGGTTTTCACTGAAGCAGAAGCCTGTCATTTGAGCGAGGCTGGCCAGCCAGCTCCCGTCAGGAGCTCCTTCAGTCACTAGCTCAGTTATGGCTAGGGATTCACCTATCTCTGCCCCTAAGTGCTGGGGTTACAGCTTTTACCTGGGTGCTGGGTATTGGAACTCAAGTCCCCATGCTTGCATAGCAAGCATCCGCCTCCTCCTCAGCCATCTCCTCAGCCCTGGGACTGTTGTCTCTCCCAGCATCCCTGCGAGCTCAGAGAAGAATGCTGTTATGTTGCATGAGAGCAAATGGAAGAGGAATTCTGGGTTTTGTTTTCCTGTGGTGGGAAACTGCCTCATCTTGCTGTCTGTGTCTCCAGCTGCCTGGTGACCTTGACCCTTGAGTTACCTTCCCAGCCTGCTTCTGCAGGTCCTCTGCGGCTGCACTGGCTCACCTGAATGTCTCTGCTTCCCAGCTCGGCATGACCTGCCTGGCACATGACCTGCAGATATCAGTCCAAGCACCTCCTTGCAGCAAGGCCACCTGTCCATAGGGAAAGGCAGCCCTGCGCTTTTGCTCCTTTCCTTGCCCTGCGTCTTGTCTCCTGTGTCTCCTGGCTTTGGACCAGGGAGCAAAGGTTTCATCTCATTCAGTCCTGTCAGTGACTGTCATCTGTGGAGGGCGGATCACGAGGGCCCCTTTCCCATGCTCTTCCCCTCAGTGTGAGGTTCTGGGGTTGTGTGTTCGTTCTTGCGAAGATTTTCCCCCAGATCACCTCTTTAGGGAAGTGTTAGAGATCTCAAGTCCCTGTGTACAGGACACAGAAATGAGTTGCTATGTTATTTTGTTGTAACTGTGGCTACGTAAAAATTCATCTTGTCACTCTGTCTTAGCTCAGGTGCTTTAGCAAGATACCCTAGACAGAGCTTGAACAATGGACATTATTTCTTGAAATTCTAGAGGCTTGGAAGTTCAAGGTCAGGGTACCAGCTAGGAAGTTCCAGGTTCCTGGTGAGGGCTCTCTTCCTGGGCTGCAGACAGTCATCTTCTTGACTGTCCTCATGCAGTGGAGGGAGCACTGCTCTCCGCTGAGTCCTGTGAGGGCCATCGGGGCCCTGTGTGCATGATGGCGTCCTACCTCATCACCCCAAAGGCCCCACTTTCTAATATCCTGGACCCTGGGGGCTAAGGACTTCCACCCGTGAGTTCAGTCCAGAATGCCCTTCCTGAAGTGAACTCTTGGGCTTGCTGCTGTGTTGAAATACCATCCCTCAGATTCCTCAAAGAAACATTTGCCTCATACTATTAGCAAGGAGAGGAGAACTATTGAGTGTGTTAGAAATGGAAATAGTCACATGGACTTAACATACCGGGATATAAAAATATCAGATGGGGGAGGCCTAGGAACCAGCTTTTGGCTGGGGATGTGTCTGAGTGCAGGGTACTTGCCTTGAGTGCACAGAGCCCTGGGCTCAGTCCTCAGAACCACTACCGAAACCAAACCAATGAAAGGACCTCTTTGCCTTTTGTCTGTCTGTAACCTGCCTCACCCCACTGAACTGTGTTTTGGTCTGTAGACAGAGGGTTACCTGTAGCCTGACTTCTTTCTCCAAACAAGGGAGTCTGGCAGGGTGAATGCTGCCCGGTCCTGAGAAGCCATCCAGATACTATCCCTGGAATACTCAAGCAGACATTACCCCTGAGACACGTCTTTGCAAATGACATCCAGCCGAGGTTTGCATGTGAGACTTGAAGTGAGGGACTGAAGGCCAGCTCTGCTCCTCACCACTGGTGTCAGGGTATTCCTGAGTAGAGAGGCCTCTACCCCTGGCCTTCACGTTTTGCTGGCTGTTGTGTTAACGTGTTCAGCAGATCTGTGTGTTGATGAGACTGTACCTCTGCTTTCGTTACAGTTGAGGTGAAGCTTCTCTCTAGCTCTCTAAGCTGAGAGTACAGTTGCAGTTGGGGGTTTGTCCTCTGGGAAGACTGTTTCCATCTCATAAATCAGAATCAAATCAGAGCTGGAATTATGGTCTCCAAGCACTTTGCAAGTGCAAGGCTGGCCTGATGTCCCGTCAGTTAGCACATTCATGAAGCACCGTGATTATTGATGAGGTGCATTGTGGCTGCAGTTGGTCAGCAGCTTGGGTAGTTTGCATAGAACAAGGCAGAGACTCTTACCCAAAGGCTGAGCACAGAGCACTGATGACTTTGGTCCCCAGACGGCACATGAGTACTTGCAGTTCTGGGAGGTCACCAGGCCATCTCTTGATTGCTTGGTCCCTCTTTGGAGACAGCTGTAAGCGCAGTGGCAGAGACTCTTTTGTTGTTGCCCCTGGGAGCTGGAAAAGGAACCCCTGTGGCTCCTAACCCGAAGTCTGAGACAACAAACTGGACTCAGTTTCTTGTCAGGCATGAGCTCACTTTAACTATGGCTCCTGAAATTAGATGCCACTCTGTAAATTCGCAGCAATCAACATAGATGTTGCACAGTTAGGGTCTTGGGTTTAGTGTGGGCTACAGACAGACGGAAGAGGTTTAACAGTTACCGTAGATGACCAGATCTTGTGCATGAAGGCTGAACTTTCAGTCTATTTCCCCTTTTTTCCTTTTCTTTCCTCTTTTTTCTGTGGTGCTAGGATCGAATGTAGGGCCTTGTGTGTGTTACGCAGTGCTGTTTTCCTGAGCTATACCCCTGGCCTTTGGAAAAAAAATTAAGAAAATTTTGAGACAGGGTCTCACCAGGTTGCCCAGGCTGGCCTTGAAGTCATGCCCAGACAGGCTTTGAACTTACAATCCTCCTGCCTCAGCCTCCTAAGTTACTGAGATTTTAGGCCTATGTCACCAGACCTGGCTTATTGATATTACTCCTATTTAGTATTTCCAACAGCTCTCCCAAGTAAGTGTTATTGCAATTCCTAATTATTGTAAAAGAAAATGGCAAGACTTTTCCGAGGCAGAGGGTATTGAAGAGACGTAACAGTCAAATGCATGATCCTTGACCATATCCCAGAATAAAATTTGTGAGACAGTTGGGGAAAGTGAGCATGCACTGTGTGTGAGGTAATGCTGTTGCATCTATGACACATACAATGAAGGTGATAATGAAACTGAAATGTCAGAAGAACATTTTCCTTCTCAGGAACGATACCCAGAAACAAGAAAGGAGGAAAGGGAATTATGCCTGCACCTTCCCTGATAGGGTTCAGGGGCAAAAAAGATGCTGTGAATACGAACACAGAGAAAAGTGAAGCAAATGTGTCAGATTCTGAAGAGCCTTTCGAGGAAGGGTAGGTGGGCTCTCATTTCTGTGTAGCTCTTCTGTAGGGTTGATAGTTTTCAAAGTAAAAATTAGTGAGAAGATGCCGCTGCAGAATCCTGCTTCGCTCTGTTATTGCGTTTTGACTTTTAAGTGAATTCTCAGAAAGCAACTGACTTCCCAAATCAGCAGATCCGTGGACAACATTTATCTTCCTACATGGTAAGAGATCCAAAAAGATGAACCATGGGAAAGGACCAAGGTCAAGTCCTGCGTGGCATTACAGAGGAAACACAGGGAGCGACACCCCAGTATATCACGAAGCATGCTGGGAAATGTGCTCAAAGCTGAAGAAGAGGATA